AGTTAGAAGTATAAAGTTATGATGAAATTTCTTTGTCATCATAATGAATTGAAGAAGAAGGATCAAAACAAATGTTAGTATTATCAGTCAATAAAATAGAGCTTCAAATATAATGAATATAAATTCAATTCAAATTATTAAATAAAATAGCATTTTTTTTAAATATAAATATAAACACTGAAAAACTTCCACTTTAAATTACCTTCCTCTTTAAACGGCCACAATGGAGGTAGACATGAGAAGTGGGCAACATATAGGTATAATATATGCAAGCTTGATCTTATAGACATAACATACAATAAGTTCACCAGTCCAAAATGCCTCAGATAACCTTCCATAAGCCGGGCGACTCCTCTAACAATTCAGGTAACCGACGTTGTGAATGCAAAATGCATCGAATATAATATTTTATGAGATCTGTTAACAATAGTTTGATATTGTTGTGTAATAAATTGAAAAATTCTGTTCGTGAACTACGATATTAGCGATTGAATGAATTATTGTCTCTCTTACACCTGCAAAATTTCTCTCCAATACAAAAGACTGCTACTACGCTATCCTTTATTTCAATATCGAAATTCTAGCTAGCAATTCCGATAGAACTTCTGGATACGATGGAGTAACAAATTCTTTTTTAATACCAGAACGAGTCGTTTTACGAAAAAATAACGTCTTCTTCGTTTTCGATCGCAAATCCAGGTATTAGTTTATTTGTTTATAACGTGGGTCCCCGCAAACACTATTTCTGAATTTGTTATAAAAATAAAGTAACAAAGTACATATAAAGAATGGAAACTCTTTTTAACACACGTCCACACCTATCTGCTTTTACATGTAAATCGTTGAGTAGAGAATACAGCAATATTTTTGCTAAACAATATTCTATCACGTTTGTTTATAAATTGTTTACAGAGAAGATGCAACATCGTAATAATTATATATTAACAGATGTTGCCTGAATACTCAGCTTTAGAAAACTCTTGACAAATATATTGAAATGCAGAGTCGTTACAAGATTGCATTGCTCGTTTTAGGATACGGGTCGTAATTGTTACACGTATTCGTTGAGTCATTATTATAACAAGCTTTTATTTAAATTGACGTAAGTTCGTTAGGATGTATGTTGATAGAATGTATGATAATATGGGTCAGATATAACGAGCTTTTCATCCACTTCCTGGTTTTTGATTGTGTTGAAATTTTTGTATGTATATATATAACTTAACAATGCCATAACTAAACATCATCATCACCATCACCAGAATATTAATGTCCCCACTGTTGGGGCTCAAGTCTTCCCTATAGTTGGATTCGAATGGAATCGGAAGAATGGGCCATGGCCCACTACGCGATCTTATGCAGATTAGTCTAAACAATACTACATTAATATTGAATACATACGTAAATATCTTGAAGAAAAATGCTTAACAAATTAACTGAAATAAAAACTAAAAAGAAAGAAACAAGCCCAGTAGTTTAGAATTCTGTAAAGTAATACTAAATAACTACACAATTCAAATAGTTTTATAATCGATACACACATAAAACAAATCATAAATTCTAATGCAGAACAGAACGACTCACAGTCGGGGCCCATTTAAATTTTACCAATCAAATCTTCCCAAGGGGCTACTGGGCTTGTTTCTTTCTTTTTTAGTTTTTATTTAAGTTAATTTGTTCATTTATTTTTTTCAATTCCTTTTTACGCAGTCGGGTTTTAAAAATACGCAACAAAAGGTCTCGCAAAAATATATTATTAGACCTACATAGTTCTAATAATTACTATGGAGATAGGCAAATACGCTGTATGTTCCTAGAAACAACAAATCAAATAACACTTATCACAATTTCTTAGAGGATATGAATATTTAGAGTCATCTGATTTATCTATACCAGATCTCTGGTCCATGATAATTAATATCCAATGAAAGCTAGTATTTCCAATAAAACACAAATTTTCAATTAAAAGCGTTTCAATCTGTAATTTCTTACGAAACGAATTTATTTCACGACACGAATTCAGATTCCAAAGTTTTGATTTGGCTGACGCACAATCGGAAACGGACTCCTTCTCGGTCTGTGAGGATTCGTCTAATCGATATTGGATTGAAACTATCAAAGTGATTAATGGTGCTTAGGTACTCAGAAATGATAGGCTGTGAGGATACGATAAATACAAACAGAATATAGAATTGATAATAATTATTACAATGTCTATTTATTCATCTGTTTTGTCACGCCAGATGCTTTGCGTGGTAGGCAGACAGAAGAAAATACAATAATGGCTATTTTCATTGGTCAAAAAAGCTTGCATGTGATAGGGTGAACGTCCCGGCGAGTCAGCCACAACTTTTGGGTCTCATCTCCTACCCTCCGGGCCTCCGGGGACCTACTGGGCAGAACATAGCTGGGTGGGTTAACGGAGGACAGTCTCACACACCTCCTGTAGCCAGGTACCAGGACCAGCGCCTGACGCTTTTCCTCGATATAAAAAAAAGTGCTCGCATGTGATATTCACGCGACTTCTCTAGACAATTTTCATCTATACTAATGTTTAGTGGTAAAGTATTTAACTTTGTTTGTATGTAATATTCTGAAATAGTGATTTTTTAATAACAACTCTTTCACCTACGGGAATCTACTCATATGCGGGTGAAAGAGCTGTAATTTATGTGGGCAAAGACGAGAGAAAACCGATAAATCCATAACCAACCGATACAATTGACCTATTAGAGAGACTTTCGCTTGCTCAATATAATAAATTTTTGGTCACATATCCTTTGACTGGCTATTGTAACCGTTTCATAAGAACCATATCGCAACACTGCGTCATTGAGCGCCTCTTAGTAACAATTACGCTTGCCATTCATCAAGTGGGAAAACTTTAGAAAAACTTCTATGGAATACAAAATATTTATTATTACTTAACTTGTACGGTGGCTTAAATAAAAAATGTAAAGATCAGAGGATCAGAACATGAGGTTTCACAGCTAAAAACCAACAATTTCTTGTGAAAGGAAAAGCTGCATTAAACATTCATTCCAGGATACTTCCTGTTCCTTCAAAAAAAAAAGAGATAATTATGCAACCTCGGGCTCTGAAAATAAACTTTTAAACCTACTTTCGTTCTAATTATTTTTTCGTTTGGAGAAACTAAAGCTCGCTCATTCTGTTGACATTTAAATTTGTAGCTCGAAAGCGCTAGGAGGTCTTTGGAGTAAGCCTACAGTTTTTATTCATTGTTCAAAAGCATTTGAGATTTTTGCATGCATTAAAGCATTTAAAGTTTATTTAAGTTTACACAATATGATAAATTTTATTAGTTGATTTTGATTTCTATCCTTAACACATTAAGGTTTAGAATGACGTGGAACACAGTGATAGCTTTATATAATGTGACGTGTTATTGACCATACTTATACGTTCATTATCATTTTGTACATGTCGTACGTAAGTGATAAGTGACAGACAGCTAAATAGTCATGGAAAGCGGTGGACGATCACGGTGAAATATTCAGGGTTGTTAATTTGATTTTAATAAAAACGAAAAATGCGGTTTCGCAGTTACGCAAAAATGCTTCTTACCTCATAAAAATTGAAATTAAGTAAATAAAAAGGGGAACAATAGACGACCGTAATACGCACTTACCCATGCGTAGGTTTCAATAAAAACGGAAAGGCGTTTACCCCCGATATCTGGAAAGAGCGGTTACTTGAATTTCGCTGTTTCAGCCAGAGATTGAAAAGGATGGTCTAAATTGAGGGATTAGACTGTCGGTCTGTGTCAATATGATAAGGCTGAGAAAGGCCGAGCCGAGAAATGTTAAATGCAAACACAGAACAAAGAGTTATCGACATTGGTCCCATTTGATGCAATCTCTGACAGTTCCGGAGCTCTGAATACGGACACAGCTGTTGTTGCAATCGAAAATACAGTTTATTGGATAAAGTTAAATAGAATGATTTTCAGTCAATACTGAAGTGAAGTGTAAATAAAATAATAAATAAAAATAAATATTACACAATCATATATATTTCAGTTCTCAAATCTCTATTAAGGTAACCAAAGCTTGTTTTATATAATCTGAAACAAAGAATTTGCTAGAATTGAGACAGATAGTAAAAATATTTTTCTTCATTGATTTGATCGAGAGTTCGAACCTTTTTACCTCTTCGGCATGCGAGGTTTGCGGAAACAGAGACTTAATTTAAAGTAAAAAAAAAGTTTAGTAAGCACTTATTTAATCTCCCTCGTAAGTAATAATGTAGAATATATTTGTATACTGTTGCAATAAGTCTTACAATTTAAAGTTATTATTAAAAATGTTGTTTCGTAAATACGAATAAAAAACAAATCAGACATTCTTAAAAAAAAGTTTAGAAGAAAAATGGTGGATTGCGGCTATAAAGTTTCTCCTTGAAATACTTGTAACTCGCATAGCTACACAAATGCTTAGTACATTGTTCTGTCTATTCTTTAGAGAGTGTTTACTTTCTTTCCTTTTTGAACAACTTCTTGAAACCACAATGAATTGCTATTTGAAGGAGACAATTTCGTTTCCATTTTCCAAAAGTGTAACAAACAATTACTTAAAATGGAAATGATATTAAAAAAGATTTCTCGTTATAATAATTTTGGAATGTAATATTACATTTTTGAATAACACGCGCTTCCGTTATTTGAAGTGCTTTAAAATTATTTCTTCTTTTGACTTATAATTCTTCTGTTGTTTTGCTATGTAACAAAGCTGTATTTATAAATGAAAGTCTCAGTGATACAATTACGAAGTATTAAAAAATCACTAATTACAAAAAAATAATTACGAAACATTTAGTAGATTCGCACTTAGACGACTTTTTAAAGTATGGTTTTGGCTCGTGTATGGAATTTTAGTTTTCTAGGATCTCGTATTTTGTATTTATTATATTAGGTAGGTATATTATTAGACGACCACAAGATCTTATAAAATGTATTAATATATTGTATTTATTATTTTCAGATACTGTGGAAGGAATACGAAATAAAATGTGTATATGCAAGTGCAGAACTAATAACCTTGCCAAAGAAACAGAAGACATTTGAATGCTAAAATATTGCCGATATGGTTGAATGTGAATGGTCAGTGCTATATGGACTGCAGATAACTGGAATGGCGATGCTCCCATCCTATGGAAGCCGCGTACTAGTGGTTTTCTTTGCCACTCTCTTTTGGGGGATGGGTAAGTGTTTTCTTTACATTGCTGCTTCTATTAAGTATATATATATTTTTTCTATATTTCAAAACTTTTGGGCATACAAAGTGTTGTTGTGGAATCGTTAGTGCTACACTGCATTAAAACTTACCCTGCATTATTAAAATAAACCTTTTTTGTAACGGGTTACAAAAAAGGTTTATTATTAGTTTTTTTTTTTAATAAATGCGCCATCTTGATCTTAATGTGTCGTCACATAAATAGTATCTCTCTCTCAATATTAAGTGAACTGTAACCCAACGATACTCATTCATCATTTGTCAAATTATGATTAATAGTTAGGAAGTTTTGTTAGAACAGTTGAAAATACACTCGATATAGACTGAAATAATAACTTTCCTTTGGGCTCTGCTGAAGTAAAATAAAATGCCCTTACTTATACTTCTAGAAAGTTAATTATGGCCAGCTGATAGATAAATTGTCACAAGGGCTTAGTTCTGCAACGTAGACAGGATTGGATATCCGCCTACTTACTGACACTGCAAGAATGTAAGGTTTGGCGCAGATAAATTATATCTGAGTCTGGTTAAGGTCTTTTCTTTTTTTTTTATCAATTTTTACAACTTTTGTAGTAACAACAGCGAAATTTTCAGTCAAAAACCTATTCTACCCAAGCCAACAGTACTTTTAATACAGATTTGATATTATAAAAGTATTCTACGTGAACTATTGTTTCCCAATTTCGAAACTAATTGCCCATCTGCAGGTAATTCCTGAAATACCATATCGCAGTCCATTTAAAACTATTCGTTCTGAATATTCTGCATACCTACATGCGGCCAAATTCAAATATCAATATCATTGCTCATAGCTTTTGAAGATTTTAGAGCACAGACTAAAATACTATTTATGGAATTTGGCATGATATATTCTAATAAAATGTATGCATAGAATATATTAAATGAATCAACATAGGTATATACAAATTATTTTTTGTAAAATAAGGCAAGTGTGTTTTTATAGTTATTTTCTTTACAAATAAATAATAATTATGTATTTATTTATGGAATTGTATACGCCTTCTTATTTATATTATATACTAGCTGTGTGATTATATATTTAAATCTTACTTGAATCACCCTCTCTGTTGTTTAAAACTGCATTAAAATCTACTGTTTAGTTTAAAGATCTCAGCGTACAGACAGCGGGAAGCGACTTTGTTATGTACAATATATAGATTATATTTACTTTACAAAATTTTTAAGTCGGGTTTTATCTTTTATATAATATTTTATTGTAATACCATTAATAAGTATGAATTTAAATGAGATAAATTTGGAGATTTTTCCTCAGAATGGAATGGCACATATAAACTATATGCTTGTTTATTGCAATAGATTGAAATGATTGATTGGCGACTCAGGTGGAAAGAAAAAATAGCTGTTAGACGTAAACTTTAAATATTTCTATAGCGAAATAGTCAATAAAAAGATAGTCTGTTTGTAAGCCTGGTGAAATTTAATTGCTTTTGTCAGTTTCTAATTCAGAGAAGTAATTACGAAGCAAATATTTTTAACCATGATTTTTTTACTGTGTGAAATAAGAACTAGGAACAGTTACACTCTTATATACAGTCGTAACAAGTAATTACTTGAGAAAAAGCCATAACTTAAGCAGATATTTTTAACCAATAGACGAAAATTTGGATGAAATAAGTTGTTAATAACTAACAATTATAGTATTCTTACTATAAACAGTTCTTACTTCAATAAAATTTTTGTTTATTTGTTAAAATATTTGCTTAAGTAATTACTTTTACTCGACTATAGATACGGGCGTTCGAAATTTAGCAGTTCTTACTTTATTCAAATTCTCGTCTATTGGTGAAAAATATTTGCTTAATTTATGACATTTTCTCAGGTAATTATTTCTGCCAAATAGACGAGAGAAGTACTCTATAGCAGGGGTGGACAAATATTTTGATAGTCGGGCCACATTCCAGATGAAATTTTGACCTCGGGCCAAACAGTCTTTTTCATACAGTAAGCAAGTCGATCAAACGTTACTTGGAATTGCAACAATGAATTAGAATGGACAAAAAGCCTCTGATTTTTTATAACTTTTGAGAAAAATAGTACAGACTCTTCGAGTTGAAAAATATGTTAAGCAAATACATCAGTTTCAGTTTCATTATTTCTTTAGTGTTTTACACCTCAGAAGATCTATTACTGCTTTTATTTCGCTTAATTTGCGGCGTATTTATCGCGGAAAGATTTTTCACAAAATTAAAATTAATATAAAATAACTTGCATTCTACTATATCGCAGGAGAAAATGGCGGCTTTAGATTTAAATTATTTTATTTATTAATGCAATAATGTCATACCATAAGTATAATATCTAATAAAATTGTGCGACTATTATGCTTACTGTAATAGTTCAATTATCATTATTATATTTTCAAATAGGAAGCGCTGAAAAGAGCGGTGGCCCGGGAGAAAATTTTGGCTCCCACCGACCCTGAGAATGTATATAAGTATTGCTTAATATTTTATCTAATTTTTTTCTTATGCACTATTTATATTAGACAAAAATTAATATTTTTGTTTTTTATAATAATATAAACAATGCTTCAGGGGCCAGAAAAAATTCTACCGCCCTTATAAGTCGGATTCGGCCCGTGGGCCTCTATTTGCCCAGGCCTGCTCTATAGATATATGAGTATAAGTAAAATGATAAATAAATACCTGATATAAACATATTTTTAATAAAAAAAATGATCGTTCATGGCCTTATGAATTAATGAATTGGTGATAGATTAAAAAATTGTAGGACAATAAGAAAAAGAAAATAAACTGCCTAATTGAAACAAAGCTGTTAAGATTTGTATAGATTACAATAATAAGTAGCTGATTAATTAATTCGATTCAAAGTATTAGTTTATAATTTTAGTAAGGCTAGTAGTAGAAAGTTCATGGAAATGTATCTACTAGGTATTTTCATATTATTTAATATCGGAAGCAGGAAAAACATAAAAGTTATCAAAGGGTGGGTTTCCAGTTCCAATATAAACCGGGCAAATATTATCATCTGTACACATATTATTGTTTCTAAAAGAAGTAATGTACCATCAACACGAGAAAATGGTTGCTCTTTTAAATATCAATTACGATTTCGTCGTTTTTGTGTCGCAGGCCCTTTTTATGTTTCAATCAAATAATGATTCTTCGGGCCAAAGGAATGTTTTCACACAAATACGAAGAAAATATTCATTCGCAAAAAGAAAGATTAGGAGATCTCCGAAAAATACGACACTTTATTACGACACAAATCTTTAAAGTGATGGAAAATTAGGTTATAATATGTCGAAAATCCTAGTTTTTTGGTATACCTAGTTACTTTGTTTTAAAAAACGCTAAAACAAATATTATTCATCATGTCTGAATATAAAGTTTGATGATTTTATCTTTGACAGTGACGAACTTCCATTATCTATTTCAACCTTTTTATCACAATCAAAAAGCAACCTATGTTGTATCTCAAGTCAACTACAATTGGTATTTCTTTAAGATTAGATATAAAACTCCGCTAATGTTATACGAGCAGTTTAAATCTTTGGTTTAAGTTTGTATTACTTTATGTTTTGGATCTGTGGGTTTAGATTATGTTTCTATTAAATTATTTAATATTGCTTATTATATGACGAATAAATTTGCTGCTGCTGCTGTATGCTGTAGTGGTAGTTTCTTTATTTATTACTGTTTGGAGATCATACGGGTTTAAATTATCATTATCATTAGTGTAACTAAAGGTTTGTAAATATTTAAATCGGGTATTATTGAATTTGGGGCAATTTTCAATGAAATGATTGAGTGTTTGAATAGTGGTGTTATTACATGGGAATTTGTCGGTAGTTTTTATTTCAAAGCGGTGTAAATACTCCAGGGGTTAGACTTTAGAACTTAACAGACATATACACAGAATTACTTTCACTATATTCATACATAATATTAGTTTTGAATAATTAAACGCTTCTCTTTGTCGCTCATAAATTCATTATCTATACTAATATTATAAAGAGGAAAACTTTGTTTCTTTGTAATGAATAGGCTAAAAACTACTACGATTTAAAAAAATCATTCACCGTTTGAAAGCTACATTATCCACGAGTAACATAGGCTATATTTTATTTTGGAAAAAAATAGTGTTCCGTAAGATATTTGGGTTTTTCGGACATAAGGTGTAATAAATCAACCAAAATAAGTAACTTTTCGTTACTTATTTTGCGTACGCTGCCTTAACTATAAAAGATAGAACCATAAAGTCTTCTAATTAATTGTAGATCTTATAAATATCTACAAAAAAGTTCGCGACACACTATACCTATCTATATCGAGTGAGGCACAAAAACCATCTTTTTATTTAAAAATCTTGAATTTTTTTGGACTACATTTAAACGCATTTATTTTACTTATGTTATTAATATTAATCAAAATAAATACATCACTAAGTACAATTTATGTATATAGTATTTGGTTTTTGTTTGATTAAATTTGGAGGTTTGGTTTTGAAGTTATGACGAAATTAAAATATTAAAATATTACGATTTCTGTTGCACGGCCCGTTATGAAGTGGACGTCACCAAGGCGGGGGTGCGCGTGCGGGAGGGCAGTTTAGATCTATGAGTAAGGTACCACACGGGCAAAGCCGCTGGCAGTAAGCTAGTATCATATAATAAGAGGTCTACAACAATAAGTTATATTTATTTATTTAAGGTACAGCAACAGCTGCATTACATATGCATTAACCAACTAATGTCCAATATAAATATTTCAAATTTAAGGTTTCAGTACATTATCTTTGATAACCGTAAAGCAGATAGCTTTCACTCTATCTGCTTTACGGTTATCAGAGATAATGTACTGAAACCTCCACTTGGAAATACAAAGAAAGAAAAACAAAAAGTAAAGTTTATACAAAACTTAACCGGGTTTCCGGTAAAGTTTTGGATCTTCGCAAAATTCTTTG